ATATGTAGGGCCAGCTATCCATCCGTTCCACGCAACTGGAAAGGCACTGAGGTTTGCTCACAGAAGCGTCCCGTCCTCTGAAAAAGCCGGAGCAGTCGTAGCTGTAGACGCAATGTGGATTATAATGTGTGGTGATGGGGTCTTAATAGAAACAGAAATTCCCACGACTCAGTCCAACAGATTGTTTAGAGCCCAAAGTACAAAGATTGAGACTGGCTCATGTCACGACTCAATACATATTGCACCCGTGACAGTCAGACGGCTTTTGGCGAAGGCGTCAAGTTCGTGTTCGGACTTGACGTGGTTGTCGCAGTTGCAGTCGCAGTCGATGCAGAGCTGCCTGTTGAGAAGGGTGAGGAGACCTGTGGTCGAAATGGACAGAGACCCATGGCCTGGGACATTTCGACCACCGTCTTTGGCGCCCCCGCGATGTGCTGGCGGATATGTGCCCTTAGCGCTTCAGAGTTCATGTCGAAATCTGGGAAATCTAACGGCCCCTGAATCGAGTAATTGGTTTGTTCGTGGAGTTCTCTGTCCATGCTCACGGTACTGTCAGTCTTGGGATCGACGTAGTGTCCCTTCCGTTGTTGTTGACCAATAACAAACTCTCGTCTCTTCATGGCGGACTGCCAGACGCGTTTCCAATGGGTACCAATTTCTTTGGTATAGAAGAAGGTGCGTAGAACTTTTTCCAGGCGGGCCCACTGGCGCGCTTGTGGGTATAGATCCAAAACATGCTCCATAATCAAATGGGAATTGGGCATGGGAACAACACGGAGAGCAAGCGCTCCAGCAGTGGCAATACTGCACCAAACCAGTGTGTTTTGTTCCTGGAGCGAGGCTGGTTTAGCATGAGTCGGTAACGAGGTGATGAATTTGCGGAGGATGGGATCATAGAAGAGGTTCACTGCTGCTAGACCTCGGAGCTGGAATATATAGGCTAGCAAGCCCATGGTGAGGTAGTATTCGAGTGGGCAGGTGGATGTCAACGACATTCGTTGAAGAGAGGAGAGGATGGTTTGGATCATCGTTTGCTTCCATTCTTCGTCGTACTGGGATGAATCGGGGAGGGGTAATTCTGAGGGAGGAGTCCAGGTGCGGTCAAGGAGATTCTCGTAGCTGACAGTTTCCGTAGCCAAGAGGGTGGTGGCAGCCGAAATTGAAGCAAGGAGCTTGATCATCTGTACTGATATCCTAGATGCAACACAGAGCTCCGAGAGCCCTAAGGGAAGGCGAGCAAGGATGATGCAAAGGTCTGGTGGGAACGGAGTTTCAGGATAGGTGAGCGGCTGATCGAGGTTTAGTTCTTGAAATGTCTCCCTGAGGTAGCCAACCGAATCGCGAGGCAGGTCGGGTGGTTGGCCTGTCACGAAGGACCCTAGAGCCTTGTATGCCACAAGACCATGGCTGACGAATTTTGTCCAGTCGGACTCCGTCTTTGTATCGTCTTTGTCATTAGAGAGTGGCCCACGGAGCTCTAGCATTTTCTCTAGGCCTTTGCAGTGCATTATCACGCCTTGCTGGTTGCCAGAGAGATATTCAAGGGTCATAAGCATCGTGACTGTCAGCAGGGCTGCATCGTCAGTGGCCTCGCTAGACTGGAGTCTTTCATTGAGGCCGGCTATAGCGCTGCCGCGGTGATGAACAAAGGCGTAGTCTTCCCATATGGGCCTTCCAAGTGAGATTAGAATGGACGCCCGACAGACTGATATGATGGACTCAAAAAGGATGGGGTGTTTGAGTGCGTAAGGCAGCAAGAGCGAAAGATGTGGGTTGACCGGGCCGGGAACGACGGATCTCTCATTCCTGAAGCCTTTGCAGATGGTGACATAGTAGTCTAGAGTGTCTTGCACAGTCTCAGTCGACTTGATGGGTAGAACTAGGAATGGATCCTCGCGGGTTCCGTTCATTGGAAGAGGCTCAAGTGGAGAGACAAAAACAAGAGCCTTTGCAAGCGGATTTTGCTTTGCGTCGCTAGGCTTTGATTTGTGTTGAATAATGCCGTCCTCGTCTTCATCTCGTGTTGCATCTGGAGGCTGCCACTGCACAAACTGGTCTGGAGCCGAGTTGGGAGACTTCTTGCTGGGATCGTACTTTTTCCATCGGATCTTTCTGTAGGCATGATTTCGACCGCTTGAGGTCCGAGGTTTATTCGTGGCGAAGGTGAACATGGCCTGAGCCGGGGGTCGACTATCTATATCCATCGCTTTCGAACATGGAGACAGTGGCAATGAAAGACTTCTTATGCTGGCTGTTTAAGCGAACGATCAAGCGATAAGAAGGTCGTGAGAGAAGACATGCGGGGCTCTCAGGAGAGTCATCGGGGCACGGAATTGGCATGGCTCGGCAAACACCACGGGCTTTGCATTATTGGTCAGCATATTGCCAAGACTGCCAAGAGATATCAAACTCGGCGGAGGGCCGGCAAGGTTGCTGACTAACAGTTTCCTCCCCATTGAGTATCCATCTTCTTTGCTTCTGTCTCCTGTTTACAAGATACCTCTTCCCACATCCCTGAGATCTGTGTCTAGGGGACGTTGTGTTTCGTCGCATTATCGAGTACGGACATACATCTTGTCAGGCTCATGCTCCCAAGACTCGGAATCTCTCACTAAAGATTGATAACCAAAATTTATCCGGAGAGATCGGTCGATCGCGTTGCTGACTCCGATCCTTGACTATCGCTGGATCTTCTCACCTGCTTATGTGGTTCTAGTTTCTCAACGGGACGTCAACTTGTAAGGCTGAATGGGTCGACTGAAGAGGTCTAAACGGGCCGAGTGGGTTGACTAGAAAATCTTCTGAAGGTAACGATTTCCCGTGCTTCTCTTTTTTGCGACTGGACAAGACCTGTCTCCTCTTCGTTGTATGATATGCAGCGAACTTGGTATCCACTATAATTCCACTCGACAACGTGCACCTTGCAAAAGGTGGTCTTCTCATCGAGAGGTCGCCATGGGGCATGTCGGCTGAGGGATATCGAGTCCACAGCATATGACAAACGAGATCCAAATGCGGGCGTATGGCCAGGTGGAGAAGTCATTGAATCCGCCCAACACATCAAGCGAATTGTCCTCTCAATATCCTGATATAGGAAATCAAGGGTATCCGTGCTGATTTTGTAATAGCTGGCAGGTGTTGAAACGCTTAGATGGGTTGCTCGTCAAACACCTCCGGACCAAGTCGTTGATATTAACTGGTGGAATGTACGACAGACTCATCCGTCCTTCGGTTTACTGAGTGTTGCTCAACCATGGAGTCCGCGGCTGTCTCTTGGCAATATGTGAAGTTGGCCGGGAGGTTCTGGGTGGAAAGCACTGGAGGAGGAACAACCTCTGTATCTTCTTTAGGAGAAGACCTAGGAAAAGACCATTGCTTAAGCAACGGGTACTGCTGAGGAAGAACTTTGGACTGTACCTCGCCTAGAAATGAAGACCCTTTAGACGAATAAGTGAAATCGGGCATGGTGCGCCAAACGTGTGTAGAGCCAATCTGGCCCACGACCTCGACCTCACAGCGTTCGCGATTGTCGGTCAGGGAATGGAGGAGGTATTTGACATCTTTCCGGGGGTGTGACTCTCCAGAATCTTCGGAGAACTGTTCATCAAAGCCTCGCCTCCTTTTCCTGCCTGTTCGTTTCGGAACAGTCACTTTAAGCAGCACATTATTGGTTGGCTTGTTGTAAGACAGCACTGCACGACTGCTTGGATCCTCGGGTTGAAATTTGAGCCCCAGCGGCTTCTCCAATCCTGACTCCAGACTCTGTACGATCTCCGCAGGACCCCCGAGCATGTCGACAGCCTTTTCCACATTTTTGACGATGCATGGATGCTCGATAGATAGGATAGGGTTGCGTGGGACCTGGAATGACGGGGCAGTCTCCCCATTACTAGGACCACGAGGCATTTGAGATGCTGGGTGGAGAGGTCCGATACGAGATGGACAGAGTGGACGATAATATGTGGTTGTTTACCCAACCTGTCCAATAGTAAATCCGGTAACTACAAGCGGACAAGACGTCTCACCTTGTTTTGACACGGCGGAGGACAAGGCTAAGGCCGGTAGTTGCAAGGAAAGTACCATTTGGCCATGAAGCTTGGTTTACTTTCAAGTCTCGGGTGATATATCCTTGTGACTTGGAGGTTGATTATCTTGTGAACCCCATGACAAGTTGATGAAACAAATCTTGATTCCGCAGCCAAGTGCCAAACTAGGTGACGATCTCTCATTTGAGGCAACTACTCCGAGCACCCAAACAAACTGAAGCCCTTCCCCCAAGGCACGTAAGGGTGCTTGGGCGACTACCTCAGGTGCCCCATAAGCCTTAGTGGTCAGGCCAATAGGCCCCTTTGACGGCAATTGGCATTACTGGATCAAGTTGGCCTTAGCTAACCTGCTAAATTGCACCTCAATCCAGCCGCGTACTGACACCGAAACACTGAACCCGTCCCCGCCAACCTGCGACTGCGACTACACTTTGACTTGCATTTACCTCGAGCTGCGCACAACTACTCGACTATTCGTCACCTTGACTGCTCTTCAATGGATGCCCTTCTCGATGCACTTAGATCAATAAGCCACCTCCAACTTCGACACCTTTGATCTCGGATCGATTCTTTCTATCCTTCTCTGCTGCGCTCTTCTCAGGGTCCTTGCAGTCCTTCAAACCGAATCCTCCAGCTACCCTCTATCACCTCCTCTACCCGCCTGCCGTACTGTCGTTCCTCCTCTGTGCCCGGACTACTTCTAAGAATGAGCAACTGATAGAAGAGAAGGAAGTCGCCGGCATTACTGAAGCCTGTTGAATTGCTTTGGTTTTCCCTGAAACCCCTACCCGCCGCCTCCTACTGAGAAGCCGATCTGGTGGTCGTGACTCGGATGAAACGCACATAACAGCCTCGTCGCTTCCTGGAACCGACAAAGCGTCGCATCAACCAAGGCAACTGTCCTCACTATCACTGGTGCGTGAACGCGTCGAATACTGAAGAGAGTCTGGCAAAATGAAAGGTTTCAGGCAGAGAGTGGTAAGTATCCTCCCAAGCCGCGTCTTGTGCCATGCCTTTTAATCGCTTCCGCTCACTGATATTCTAGCACGAGCAGTTATCGAGGGCGAAAGATAGTAACAAATCGTCCAAGAAAAAAGATGCGAATAATTCGGGCACTGCATCACCGCTGTCATCATCCACTACGCTCCCCGGTAGTGATTCGAGATCCCCCAACAGTTCCAACACCGCAACTCCGACGTCTTCGTCAACGAATCTGAATGATCTCCGAAATAAGAGTGGGAATCATGAGAGCACCAATACCAGCCACACCACCACCCAACACCATGCTGGCTCTGCAACAGGGTCAGGTTCGCTGGCTTCTCATTTCATGTCGCAAGGCTCTGGTCATGGACCGGGTGGACCTGGAACAGCCCCGGGCCGTCATCACATTGCTCCAAGCGTTATCATCAGTCCAAGTGCTCCTCACATTCCTGGACCTGGTGCGACTGAAACGATGCCTGGCGACCTGGCGCCCCCCAAGGCCGGCCAAAAATCCCTCCTCTTCGACCGATTGCAGAGTACCCCAAAAGATGTGCCCGAGGGTGTCCGAACTCCCAAGAGACAGCATTCATCACGGTTTGATGTATCGGACCAAAGAGCTCGTGACCTGGAGAAATTGCCCGGCTTCCATGAAGTCCCTCCTAACCGAAGACAAGAGTTGTTCATGCAGAAAATTGATCAATGTAATATCATCTTCGACTTCAATGATCAGACCGCCGACATGAAATCAAAAGAAATCAAGAGACTCGCTCTCCACGAACTTCTGGACTACGTTGCCAACAACCGGTCGGTGATAACCGAACCGATGTATCCGAAGGTTGTCGAAATGTTCAGCAAGAACCTATTTCGCCCCGTTCCTCCTCCTGTCAATCCACAGGGTGAAGCATTTGATCCCGAGGAAGATGAACCGGTCCTGGAAGTTGCTTGGCCTCACATTCAAGTTGTCTACGAGTTTTTCTTGCGTTTCATTGAAAGCCAAGACTTCAACACAAACATTGCCAAAGCTTACATTGATCATCATTTTGTCCTTCAGTTACTGGAGCTGTTTGACTCTGAAGATCCCCGGGAAAGAGACTTTCTCAAGACGACGCTTCACCGCATTTACGGCAAATTCTTAAATCTTCGGTCCTACATTCGCAGATCTATCAACAATGTCTTTTTCCAGTTCACCTATGAGACCGAGAGGTTCAACGGCATAGCCGAACTTCTCGAAATTCTTGGTTCAATCATCAATGGCTTTGCTCTCCCACTCAAAGAAGAGCATAAGCTGTTTTTGACCAGAGTACTCATTCCTCTTCACAAAGTGAAGAGTTTGAGCATGTATCATCCTCAGTTGGCATATTGTATCGTGCAATTCCTAGAGAAAGACGCAGCGCTGACAGAAGAAGTAAGCTTTCACTCATGTTATCTTGTACTTATTATGCTGATTCCGTATTCCAGGTTGTGCTTGGTCTACTACGCTACTGGCCGAAAGTTAACAGCACCAAGGAAGTCATGTTCTTGAACGAGGTCGAGGACATTTTTGAGGTTATGGATCCACAAGAATTCGCAAAGGTCCAAGAGCCTCTCTTCAACCAGTTGGCCAAATCCGTGGCGAGTCCTCACTTCCAGGTTGCGGAGCGTGCACTATACTTCTGGAACAACGAATATTTCTGCAATCTCGTCAGTGACAACGTCGAAACCATCCTCCCGATCATGTTTGCCCCATTGTATGAAAATTCAAAGGGTCATTGGAACCGGTACGTGTGCTTCCGTTCGAGTTATGCAATCCGCTAACGAGTGGCCAGCACAATACATGGCATGGTTTACAATGCAATGAAACTTTTCATGGAGATCAATCCTCAACTTTTCGACGAATGTTCGCATGATTACAATGAAATGCAGAACACTGCTGCTCAACGAGAAAAGGCACGCGAGGCGAAGTGGGAGAAGCTCACCGAGCAGGCAAACCGTATGAAGGCCGGATTGGCAAAGCCCCCGACAACTCCAAGCATCAAGGAAGTGCCAGAGACAGATGCCGCACAGGACAACCAAGAGAGGCTAGATGCTCTCAAGTTGCATGATGAGTCATCGTCAAGCAAGCCATCGTCGGTAAGCCCGTATCTGCTTTGCACCGCGCGACCCAGCGATACCCTCGTTACCACCTTGTTATCTCCATTTTGGCTAAGACATTCTTTTATCATTATAGTGACGTTGATGGCTGTTTCTGACATGGCTTTGGAATCTCCAGAGGCGACGCGCAGACTCACATGGGCAGACTAGATCTCGCCGGTCTAATAGCAGTTTGGATGGCAAATCGAGAAGACATCGCGCACATTCTGGAGGATCAATCGAATTTCACCGGACAGTACAAATGCCTCATACTCACCGCCACGCCGGTGGCTTGCCGCAACGTTGACTCAAGCGATTCTTGGACTGTCGGTGGTGGCAGCGAGCTATGACTGAGTGATCAAACGTTCACTCTGAATCGTCGACAAGTGATCGACCTTGATTGATGTTTTGGGTTACCTCGAGCTGGCGCTCAGCCTGCGAAGGATTCAGATACCCGGTCAACACCGTGAATTTTACCTTGGGTTTTGGCGATGTCCTGGGGATGATAGAGTACCACGAGGCGCTAATCGACATGTTCAGCCTCTGAAATGAAGACACGAGCAACATGGGCGGTAAATGCTCCTAGGTGGGAAGAGGAATCGGAGAAAGGCAATGTCCGAGTTGTAAAGAAATGTCTTCAACCTCTTTTCCAGTCTAGCAGACCTTGGAATGTATGTCCCATAATGTATTTTCCTCCCCCAAGGCTGCACGCGAGCCTTACTAGGCCCCCGCCAAGTTCCACATTAGGCGGCTCCATTGACGAATCGAGTACGATTGGCTTTTGGCAGTCCACGCTATTCCCGTTAACGACTAACTGTATCACGTGAGCTGCACGCTCGAGGCATCGAGCGTCCCCCCTCGGATTCACTTTTCTACCTCGCGCCTTGATTCTCCGCAGAGGTCTCCATACAAATTTGGTCGGAGGAGGCACACCAAGGTCAACAGGGCAACTTGCCTACACCCATTTCTTCCCTTTACATTCTCGTTTAGTATTATTGCAGGGAGCGTACTTAATTGTGTTTGCATCTCTTTCTCCAGCGACCAGTTAATTGCGTTGCACACCTCCTGTAGCGACTCTTTTACTCCTGCGCTCTCAGTCACATTCGCCGAGGTGCAAATGGGCCTTTGCAGAAGCGAACCCTAATGAGGCCGCTCAAGCGTTGCGATACACCTCTCTCCTTACGGGTAGCCGACTCTCCCACTCTCTGGTGAAGTCGGGAGGTCGACCCAGAACGACGACAGCATGGATGCCTTTCAGAAGATTGATGTCTACGCCGCAAGGCTCAGTGATCCAAAGATTGGTAAGTCGCGTGTCCGCCGCAAACACCTTCCGGGATATGCTGTCTGACTATGACATTGTTCTAGATACACGGACAAAATCGAACGTGGCGACAGAACTCCGCGACTCTATCGAATCTTTGTGCACCCCGTCCAGTGTCTACACAAAGTTCTTGACGAAGTTATGGCCTGTCTTCAAGAAGATCCTGGAGGGGACGACAGATCTGAACCCGACCTCCTTCGAACATATCCTTCGGAATCAGATTCTCGAGATCCTCCATAGATTACAACATCAGCTGCACGAGGTTGAACCCTTTGCTTTAGACATGGTGGAAACGCTGATGGAGCTGGTCAGGGTGGAAAATGAGGATAATGCTGTTTTGTGTCTGAAGACGATCATGGATCTCGAGCGTCACCAACCGAATGCCACTGCTTCAAAAGTTCAACCCTTCCTTGACCTCATTCAAGAGATGTTCCAATTGATGGAACAGGTGGTCCGCGACACCTTCGATTCTCCCGGGCCGCATCACCAGGCCTCATCTTTGACGACCAACCCTCAAAGCCAGACCTTCCAGTCTCCGCGCCCTGGCTCGCCCGCCACGACGGTGTCCGATCCAGGGACGGAAAAGAAGGAACACGCCCCCCTGGCGAAGGGCATGCAGTCCTTCAAGGTTCTTTCAGAATGTCCTATCATCGTCGTGTCTATATTCCAAGCGCATCGAACTTCAGTTGCTGCCAACGTCAAGAAGTTTGTACCTTCTATAAAGGGAATTCTCATGCTTCAGGCCAAAGCACAAGAGAAGGCACACGCGGAGGCTGCGGCGAACAAGACTATATTCACCGGAGTCAGCAAGGAGATAAAAAATCGTGCTGCGTTTGGTGACTTTATCACCGCCCAAGTCAAGACGATGAGTTTCCTGGCATACCTTCTCCGGGTATATGCAAACCAGCTGACAGACTTCTTACCAACTCTGCCGGGTGTGGTTGTCAGGTTGCTAAAAGACTGCCCGAGAGAAAAGTCCGGCGCGCGCAAAGAACTGTTGGTTGCAATACGGCACATCATCAATTTCAACTATCGCAAAATCTTCTTGAACAAAATCGACGAGTTGCTAGACGAACGAATCCTTATCGGTGACGGCCTGACCGTATATGAGAGTATGCGTCCACTAGCGTACAGTATGCTCGCAGATCTCATACACCACGTGCGGGACTCGTTAGAGCGCAATCAGATACGGCGGACGATCGAAGTGTACACGAAAAACCTCCACGACAACTATCCTGGTACAAGTTTCCAGACGATGAGTGCAAAGTTGCTGCTCAACATGGCCGAGAGCATCACCAAACTGGAGAATAAGGAAGAAGCGAGGTATTTCTTGATTATGATTCTCGATGCGATCGGCGACAAATTTGCCGCAATGAATTATCAGTATGAGAACGCCGTGAAGCTGAGCCGCCATTACGGAGACAAATCCAAGGAGAACCAAGCGGAGACATACATGGATGACAAAGACGAGGTTCCGGACTGGGACGCTGTGGACATATTTAATGCCACTCCTATTAAGACGTCAAATCCGCGAGAGCGAGGTGCAGACCCAGTAAACGACAACAAATTCCTCTTCAAGAACCTTGTCAACGGGCTCAAGAATATGTTCTACCAACTGAAAACATGCAACCCTCCAGGACTGAACGTAGACCAAGCAAGCATTCCGATCAACTGGAACGAAGTTTCCTTCGGCTACAACGCTGAAGAGACTCGCGTGGTCACCAAGCTCTTCCACGAAGGAGCTCGCGTTTTTCGCTATTATAGTGCAGAAGCGCCGGTGCCGGACATGCAATATTCCTCCCCGGTGGACTTTATGGCAAGCCACTCAATGGCACAAATGACCAGAGAAGAAAAGGAATTGTTAGAGAGCTTTGGGACGGTATTTCATTGCATCGATCCAGCCACCTTCCACGAAGTCTTCCAAGCCGAGATTCCTTACCTGCACGAGTTGATGTCTGAGCATACGGCCTTGCTTCATCTGCCTCAATTCTTTCTTGCCAGCGAAGCTACATCACCAGCATTTGCAGGGATGGTTCTTCAATACCTCATGAACAAACTTCCCGAGGTTGGTTCGTCAGACATTGTCCTGTCGTCGATATTACTGAGGATGTTCAAATTGTCATTCATGGCTGTTACGCTTTTCTCGACACACAACGAACAAGTTCTGCTCCCACACATCACGAAGATCATTACACAATGTGTACAGCTGTCGGTAACGGCAGAGAAACCCATCCATTACTTCATTCTTCTTCGATCGCTCTTTCGAAGTATTGGTGGTGGGCGCTTCGAACTCCTCTACAAGGAAATCCTTCCGCTTCTCGAAATGCTCCTCGAAACTTTCAACCATTTGCTCCAGGGCGCCAGAGACCCTCATGACCGAGATTTGTACGTTGAGTTGACTTTGACTGTGCCGGCGAGACTCAGTCATCTGTTGCCGCATCTCAATCACTTGATGAGACCCCTGGTTGTGGCTCTTCGAGCTGGCCCGGATCTTGTCGGGCAAGGATTAAGAACGCTCGAGCTCTGCGTTGACAATCTTACAGCAGATTATCTAGATCCAATCATGGCTCCAATCATGGATGATCTGATGACTGCCCTGTTCGAGCATCTGAAGCCTCAACCCTACCAACATTTCCACTCCCATACGACTATGCGCATTCTTGGTAAACTCGGTGGACGTAACAGGAAATTTCTGAATCATCCCCACCGTCTGGCTTATCGGCGCTACACTGACGACGAGCCTAGCTTTGATATTCGACTCATCGACACGAGCCGGGACCGAGCGTTTCCCATGGACACTGGCGTCGACCTAGCCATTAGAAAACTTACTGAGACAACGAAGAACACGAATCCGAAGGCTTTGGATCTATATTACAAGGAGCAATCGTTCAAGTATATCAGCAATCAAGTGAAGTTGTTCATAGGCCAGGATTACCTTCCTGACGACTTCGCAACTCTTCTCCGACTTCAAGCAAATGACCTTCTGGCCCGACGCTTCCAGACATACGCTGATATGTTAGCCGATAACGAATTTGGTAAATCGGTGCACAAACGTCGAGAGCAAGAGGAGAATTTGAAGAAGCTACTCAAGGCCTGCTTCAGTGCAATGACTGTCCCGGATCTGAAACCGCAAGTGGAAGTTTTCGTTCAGAGCATCTCTCGCCATTTTACTCTCGTGGAACTTGGTCAGGCTCTGTGTGACGCTGGCCGAAGAACGAAGGAATTTGATGTCAATCTCGGCGAAGGCGCGGTCCATCTTAGCACTCGCATACTAGCCGACGTGATCTGTGATTGTCTGGCTTCTGACAACATCTTCATCCGTGAGGCTGCGGAAGCATCAATGCTGGCTGTTGTGGATACGGCTCGTACTATCTTTGGGAGCGAGGAAAAGGTCGCGAAACTTCCATTTTTTACACATCTCACCCAGACATTCTGCCACAAATGCCGTGAAGTGGAGTGGTTCACCAAGGCTGGTGCGACTTTGGGAATACAAATTCTGGTCAAGAAGCTGGATCTGGGCCAACCCTTCCTCGCCAGTAAGCAACTTGAGATCATCAAAGCTTTGCTCTTCGTGATCAAGGACACGCCTCAGGAAGTTCCAGCGAGTACTCGGATCACCGCCCAAGAGACTCTGGAATTCATTCTTCGGAAATGCTGCGCCGGCCAGACCCGAGAGATGCTCATGAACGAGAGGAGCACTATCCATGCTCTTTCTGTGACCTTCAGTCTCGAGCTATCCCACATGAATACGCATGCGCGTGAGACAGCACAACACGCATTCTCGGTGATGGCAGAGGTTGTGGGTCTTGAGGTACATGAGCTGATCGACCCAGTTAAGGAAAGATTCCTGCCTCCGATCTTCAACAAGCCGCTTCGAGCCCTTCCGTTTCTTTCACAAACCGGCTTCATCGACGCAATTACATACTGCCTGAGTTTGGGTCACGACCTTGTCCCGTTGAACGACCAGCTCAACCGGCTTATGATGGAGTCATTAGCGCTTGCCGACGCGGACTCTGAGATCCTTCATCCCAAACCAGACGAGTACAACAATGCTCAGTTGATTGTCAATCTCCGGGTTTCATGCCTGAAGCTTCTTTCTATCGCGATGAGCTTGCCCGAATTTGCGACGGGACCACAAAATTCCAGCCGTGCCCGCATCATCACCGTCTTCTTCAAGCTCCTTTACTCCAAGTCACCCGAGATCATCGAGGCTGCTAACGCCGGTCTGAAGGAGGTGCTGGTCCAGACCTCGAAGCTCCCTAAAGATCTTCTCCAGAATGGACTGAGGCCTATCCTGATGAATCTCCAAGACTCGAAGCGTCTCACCGTCGCAGGGTTAGAGGGCCTTGCGCGATTACTGACTTTGTTAACCAATTACTTCAAAGTCGAGATAGGTGCTCGATTGCTGGAGCATATGAGAGTGATTGCAGATGAGCAGCTGCTGCAAAAGGTCTCCTTTGGCCTGATTGAACAAAACCCACAGATGAAGATCGTTACGGCGATATTCAATATTTTTCACTTGCTTCCCCCTGCGGCCACCAGTTTTATGGGAGACTTGGTAAACAGCGTCTTGGACCTGGAAGCAAAATTACGCCGTACAGTGGCCAGCCCGTTCCGTCACCCGCTCATACTCTATCTCGACAAATATCCGAAGGAAACGTGGTCGTTCTTTCAGTCGCGCTTGCAGGAGGAGAAGTACGGCCGCTTCTTTGCGCAGATCCTAGGCTCAGATTCCAGCCCAGCTATTCGTGAAGTTGTCATGAACGACACTGAAGCGTTTATCAAGGCTGCGTTCGACGTCGAGGCCATACCAGAGCGCCATACCGCGGCGATCAATGGCATCTACATAGTGCACTCAATCTGCACGTTTGAATCCGCTAAAGACTGGCTGCGTGATCAGGAGCAGCTCAGGGCCAAGGTTCTAAGTGCTGGTCAGGAAATCGAGGGTGAACTACGCAAAGATCAGCTTCAACCTTCACAGCGTCTACGTGCAGAGCAAAGTGGAGATCAAGTGATGGATATAATGACACAATATCTAGCGTCATCGCCAGACGATCTCAACTTCGTGATCGAAGTCTTCTCTTCATCTGCACAAGGCACGATAAAGACCCCCCTAAAACTGATGAAATATATCTTTGATTCCATCATTACCGATGAATCTGCAAGCCGCAGGTACAATATCATTGAGCGGTGTCTGGACGTTTACTCTCAAAAAGCTGAATCCTACAAGGTGAAGACGTTCCTGTTGCACAACGTGGTCAACCCCATCATGGCAAGGGATGTGCAGAATACTCGTCAGGAGAATAGCAATGCAGCTCCACTAGCAGACAGCAAGCTGTTCAACCTGTTTTTAGAGCGTCTGTGGAAATCGGCTACTCCCGATGGCAGCGACGACTCATCACAGCCAGGTGTCGACCATACTCGCATGGAAGCGCTGCAACTCTCTGCATTCATTCTGAAATATCACAAAGATGCTGTTTCCGAGGACCGGAAAGATATCATCAAATATTCCTGGGGACATATCAAACTGGAAGATGTGATCAATAAGTACGCAGCGTATGTCCTGATATGCTACTTCATCCGGTCTTACGACACACCCCCAAAAATCGTGGTCCAGATCTACAATCAGCTTTTGAAAGCTCACCAAAATGAAGGCAAAGCGTTGGTCACCCAGGCTCTGGAGGTGTTGGCTCCGGTACTGCCTGCGAGAATAGGCGCCGGTGCCAATGCCCCTGGAGACAAGAGGACGCCTTCGTGGGCTCGACTACCACGCAAGATCTTGAACGAAGAGACAGGTAATTTACAGCAGGTCCAGAGCATTTTCAACTTCATTGTGCGCCAACCGGATCTCTTCTATGAGTCGAGGGAGCTCTTTATCCCGACAATGATCCAAATGCTTAACAAGCTTGCCCCTCCACCAAACCCTTCGAATGAGAACAAAAAGCTTGCCTTGAATCTTATTTCTCTGATACAGCAATGGGAAAGTCGACGTGTCTCACCGGTATCGCCTTCTCAGACTGGAGCCGACTTGACGCCTACACGTAAGAGAGATCACGCTGGTGACCAGAAGCTGGGCCCACCAGCAAAGGAGAAGGCCGAATACGTGATTCCACTTGAGCTTCGCACGGCTGTGGTCAAGTATATGATCAACTTCATCACTACTTTGCCCGAACGCTTTCCCGCCCCAGCTGCAGACCTCAAGGCTAAGACCATGCAGAAGGTCCAGCAGCAGCCTTTACCAAACGACATGTGCAAAAAGGCCGTTCAACTACTCCGAGTTCTTCTGGCACCGAATCTATGGACAGATGTTGATGTCGGTCTCTATGAGAAACTGCTTGATCCGATCCTGAGTGGTGAAAAAGCAGACAAGGCAGAGGACAAGCAATTGACATGCATGATCAACGCCCTGCAGGTCATGCGAATTCTGCTAAGCACGAAGTCGAATGAATGGATCATTGATCATATGGAAAAGATCCAGAAGCTGTTGGAGAAACCACTCAAGATGGAAGAGCCCGAAATCCAGGACTGTTTGCATCAAGTGACTGACGACGATAAGTCTCTTCCGCTGGTTCGACGTGTTCTCGAGGCAATTCCGGCTCAGAAGACGGATGATGCAGATGCAATGGACTTGGATACCCCGCCTTCAGACTTTCCGACTCGATATTCCAAGATCATGGTCGGCGAAGCTTTGTCTAACGGCAGTTATGTCTCGGGTATAAACAACCTGTGGACTCTTTCATTGGTACGACCAGCCGATGTTGATGACCATATCAACGGAGCGATGAAAGCTTTGCAGCAGAAACTGGCAAAAGAACACATCAATGCATATGTGATCCCGCCTGGACCTCCTCCCCAAGGTTGGCGTCTTGGTGAACCCTTGATGGACCCCTACGACTTCGCGCTGGGTGTTGACCTCATAAAGAAAACTATTGACATTCTGTCGTCCCGAATGAGTGAACTCAACGAGCAGCGTCGACCGTTCCTCAGTGTCCTTGCTTCGCTTGTTGAGAAGTCGTTCAACGTGGAAATGTGCAGCAAAGTGTTGGACATGGTAGAGAAATGGGTCTTTAACTCAACCGAGCCATACCCAACACTGAAGGAGAAGACGGCAGTGCTGCACAAGATGCTCATTTTCGAAAAGTGGCCCAATCAAAATCTACTTGAGCGCTTCCTTGAACTCGTCTTCAAGATCTACGATGACCCAACTGTTACGCGAACGGAGCTGACAGTGAGATTGGAGCATGCTTTCTTGATCGGAACTCGTGCCAAAGACGTGGAGATGCGAAATCGTTTCATGAACATCTTCAACCGTGCCTTGTCCAAAACTGCCAGCTATCGACTGAACTACGTGTTGACACTGCAAAACTGGGATACGCTTGCCGACTCATTCTGGTTGAAGCAAGCTTCGCACCTGGTCATGGGCTCTGTTGAAATGTCGATGCCCGCTCGCCTCCACCCAGAAGATGTCCGCGTTTGCCCCCTATCTCAACTCTTCAACGCCAATCTTATCAGCGCCGATCAACGAAAAGACGATCCAATCATCGAGGATAGCCTGGACGCTCTAGTTGCCGCACAACGTCGTTTCAATCAAGAAATCCATGAGGTCAAAGTCCGTGACCTGCTCGAGCCCCTTATTCAGCTGCAGCATATTGATGACAATGTTGCCTACGATGTCTGGGTCAAACTGTTCCCACTTTGCTGGTCTGCCCTGAACAGGGATGAGCGTCTTGACCTCGAGAAAGGCATGGTGACCCTGCTGACTCGAGAATATCATCAGAGACAACTTAACCTTCGTCCCAATGTCGTTCAAGCATTACTGGAGGGTGCAGTGAGGGCTAAACCAAGGTTCAAGGTGCCTCCTCATGTTATGAAATTTCTGAGCAGAACATATGACGCGTGGTACACTGCGCTTATCTCCCTTGAAGAATCTACCGTTGACCCATTGATCGATACGCCGGCGGTTCGCGAAAGCAACCTGGATGCCCTCGTGGAAGTCTATGCTGGCCTTCAAGAAGACGACCTATTCTATGGAGCGTGGAGAAGACGGTGCAAGTTTATGGAAACCAATGCCGCCCTCTCATACGAGCAGCACGGCATCTGGGATAAAGCGCAACAACTCTGGGAGTCAGCCCAAGTTAAAGCACGTACTGGCGTTGTGCCGTTCTCCCAAGGAGAATACTACCTTTGGGAAGATCACTGGATGATTTGCGCTCAGAAACTCCAACAATGGGACATTTTGGGCGAATTCGCAAAGCACGAGAACTTCAATGATCTTCTACTCGAATCAGCCTGGAGGAATTACGAAGCTTGGTCCGGCGAAGAAAACCGAAACCAGCTGGATGCGATGATCAAGTCCGTCTCCGACGCTCCAACACCTAGGCGAACCTTCTTTCAAGCATTCATGGCACTTCTACGATACAGTTCTAAGCAGATGTCGCGTTTGGAGTTCCAGCATGTTTGTGACGAAGCCATTCAGCTCTCTATCCGCAAATGGCATCAACTTCCCAAGCGTATAACAAATGCCCACATCCCCATTTTGCAGAACTTCCAGCAGTTGGTCGAGCTTCATGATGCTAGCGTTATTTGCGATAGTCTCATGGGCACCAACGAGCGTAATCTTGACAGCAAATCACAAGAAGTCAAACTCCTCCTGCAAGCTTGGAGAGACCGGCTACCGAACATCTGGGACGACATCAATGCGTGGCAAGACCTGGTCACCTGGCGCCAGCATGTTTTCCAGCTCGTGAACTCGACGTACTTACCTCTTCTCCCTCAAGGCGGTAACAACGTTGGCAACAATTCATATGCCTTCCGAGGTTATCATGAGACGGCTTGGATAATAAACAAGTTTGCCCATGTCGCCCGAAAACACCAGATGCCTGAAGTGTGTATCAATCAGCTGGGCAAGATCTACACGTTGCCCAACATCGAAATTCAAGAAGCCTTTTTGAAACTGAGAGAACAAGCCAAATGCCATTACCAGAATAAAGCCGAGCTGAATAACGGGCTTGATGTGATTAACAATACCAATCTCAACTACTTTGGCGCACAGCAAAAGGCCGAGTTCTATACGCTCAAAGGCATGTTCCTGGCCAAGCTCCAGCACGCAGAAGAAGCGAACGAAGCGTTTGGTGTAGCTCTCTACTATGACCTTCGACTTCCAAAAGCATGGGCCGAATGGGGCCAGTATTCCGATCGCAAGTTCAAGGAGAATCCATCCAATATCGAGGCTGCCAGTAATGCTGTCAGCTGCTACCTCGAAGCGGCTGGGCTTTATAAGAGCGCCAAATCAAGGAAGATGCTTAGCCGAGTATTGTGGTTACTTAGTCTGGATGACGAGGAGGGGCACATTGCTAAGGCATTCGAAGACTTTAAAGGCGAGACGCCAGTCTGGTACTGGACGACGTTCGTGCCTCAACTGCTCGGCAGTCTCGAGCACAAGGAGGCACGCCTTGCCAAATCGGTGTTGGTGAAGATCGCCAAAGGTTTCCCCCAGGCACTGTTCTATCACCTGCGGGCGACAAGAGAAGATTTCTTGGGCAAGAAAAAACAATACGAGGCCCAGAAAGCCAAGCAGCAGAAGAATCAGGAAGAGAAGAAGGAATCTGGGTCACGACCGGGCACGGCCAATGGTGAAGCCCAGACCAATGGGTCATCGTCTCCCAAACCTAAGCAGGAGCCAGATGCCGACAACGGCGAGGCGAATGGTACCGAAGCGGGCAAGAAACCTGAAGAGCCCAAGAGGCCATGGGACTACACCGACGAGATCATGGCTGGCCTAAAGACTGCATTCCCCCTCCTTGCGCTTTCAATGGAGACAATGACAGATCAGTTGTCGAAGCATTTCAAATGTCCGCCAGACGAGGATGCCCATCGACTTATTGTTGCGCTGTTAAATGACGGACTGCACTACATCAGCCGGGCACCCATGACTTATGCCGAAGGGGCCAAATTGCCGCCTCAGACGGAAGCCAATGTTGCGCGATTCGTACAATCTGTTCTCCCAGCACATATCCGCAAATCATTTGAGGCAGACTTTGTCCAAACCAAACCGACGATGTATGAATACATCCACAAATTAAGGAAGTGGCGAGACAAGTTTGAACAGAAGCTCGATCATAGACAGCAGTGGGCTCCCCTGGAGTCCTACAGTCATCATCTAAGCGAATTTAAATTCCTCAAGTTTGACGACTCGGTGGAAGTCCCTGGACAGTATCAACAGCACAAAGACAAGAACACCGATTTCGTTCGTATCGAGCGCTTTATGCCGACAGTTGAGCTTGTCAGGGGCAACAGCATCTGCCACCGCCGTCTAACAATTCGTGGCCATGACGGCTCTCTGCATCCCTTTGCCGTTCAGCATCCAACAGGTGGCAAGGTCCGTCGCGAGGAGCGCATCGTACAACTGTTCCGGATCTTCAACCAGACATTGTCAAAGCGCAAAGAATCCCGGCGCCGAAATCTGTACTTTCATTTACCCATCTTTGTGCCGATAGCACCGCACATTCGCCTGGTACAAGACGACGCCTCATATGTAACACTTCAGTCCGTGTATGAAGACCACGTCCGCAAACTTCCTCCCAACACCATGTCCCGGGATGAACCGATCCTCTTTGTCCTCGAGAAATCACGCACCATCGCCGAGCAGCAAAAGACAAGTCCCAGAACACCTGAGCAGGTTGCAATCATGAAGACTGAGATCTTCACCACGATCCAGGAGAGGTGGGTTCCAAATACCATCGCTTTGAAGTACTTCCAGACGACCTATCCATCTTTCGAAGATTTCTGGCTCTTCCGGCGGCAGTTCAGTTATCAATTTGCGGCCACCACGTTCATGACATATATAATGCATATGTCCGCGCGGTATCCGATGAAATTCTCCATCTCGAGAGCCACTGGAGATATTTGGGCCTCTGACCTATTGCCTAACCTCAATTCGAGTCGAGCATTGTTCTACAATCCTGAACAAGTGCCCTTCCGCTTGACTCCAAACCTGCAGACACTCATGGGTCCCCTGGGTGTTGAAGGGATCTTCACAGCAAGTCTAATGGCGATCGCACGCTGCCTCGCGGAGGGTGACAACGGATACGAAATGGAGCAGCAACTCGCTATCTTTGTAAGAGATGAGATGTACAACTGGGCTGCTGGGCGGCCTCAATCTAGTGGAAGTGGTGGCCAAGGGGGAGATCAGAAAATGGAAGGGTCACATTTAAGAGAGCTAGTGGCTATGAATGTCGAGTTCATCACGCGGCGTGCGCTCACATTGGCGAAGACGCAAGGCAGTGTCGGTGCTCCTTCGGTTTCTTCAGGGACACAAGCTGCCAATACCAACGGCGCCGTCTCTGGCGCAGAGGGAAGTGCAAGCGGTGCGGCGGCCGCGGCAGCCACAGCAAACGCGATTCCCACTGGTGTCACCGGCGTCCTACCTGCATGTCAGAACGTGGTGGATCTGGTCAGCAAGGCGACTGATCCTACTCGACTCAGCGGAATGGATGGGTTATGGATGCCTTGGCTGTAAAATACAATATCTGGGACACGAAAGGGAAGAGGAAAGGAAGTTAAGGCGGCTCACTCCAAACGGCAATTTCAGGAATTGGTTTATTCGGGTTCATGCGGCGTTTCTGGACGGGCATGATGTCAATTCGATGCATTGACGACTTTTCGCTAGGCCGGTGGTTTCTCTATTCTTCGGAGTCCGGCTCGGGAGGATGGCAACTCGAAGCATGATGCCTCGAGGCACGACAAGTCCAAGGGCATACAGGGAATCACACGATGTGGTCAGGACAGACGATATCTCATCCATCAACGGGGCGTTTCGGGCGAGGCGGTATATCTGTCTTTTTACATATCACCACCACCACCACCATCAACATCCGCACAACTCCCCTGATACGCCTTGATACATCCACAAGCCCTCGGCGTCTGAGACGAAAGTCGAGGACAGGAAAGGAAATGACTTTGGGGGAATTGTGTGCAAAGATATCGATTGTTTGGCAGACGGGGTGGCGCCCTTATTTCTACTTCTACTGGATTATCACCTCTTTCTAGGCCTGTATAGTTGCTTTGTTTTTTTTTTGTTCTTTCTTCTTTCTGGCTCTTTAGCAGAGCAAAAACCAAAACAGTTCTTTAGACCCAAGGCCAATGGCCGACAGACAGACAGACAGACAGACTATTCATGATTGTCCACTATGTTCATCAAGGCGTCTACCCACTGGGTTGCTAATCATGATCACGGCGTCTATCCGACGTTGTTCTGGCTAGAGAGTCATACTTTTCCCACGTCAATCAACCCTTTAGGATATTAAAAGGTATTCACACCAAGTGTAGAGGTCGCCTGTCCCTCTTGCCCTTTCCCGTTTTTCTCAATCCTGGACCTCAATCGCCAGCTACCCATAGTTTCGTCCAAGCCAAACCCAAATTCTGTACAGGCGAATAGAACCAAGTGGCGACGCATGGAGATCTGGACTCGTCACAGGAGATCTGACCTTTCGAATACAAAGGCCCAATGCAATAATGTCCTCAAATTCCCTTGGTCCTTGTCGTTAAGAGTCAATTGACTAATTTCGGTTCGGGAGAGCTGTTTGCGAATCGGCAGAAATTACAGGCTTGACTTGACAATGTTGTCATCGGCCACAGTCGAGAGATCCAAAGACGACCATTGGTTATCATCGTACAGATCTCAGTGCAGCATCCAGAATCTCATTCGCATGCCCGTCCATTCGTTGTTCGATCTTCCGTTCGTTACTCATCTGCTCTGTCGAGGTGGTAGGCGCAACGGCCTCCTTACCTCTTCGCTTTGACCTCGTTCCGATTCTTGACACAGGCGCAGGCGCTCCTTGCTGTATTGTGGCTTCGAGCTCGTCAAGTGGCTGATCCTCTTCCAAGGCCCAGAACTCCAGCGCCCGACTGAGCAATGTTCCGGCGACGCCACCGCCACCGGCATCACCACCGAGAACCCGTACAGCCTCGTGAAGGGCCATGACCGCTTCTTTCGTGTGGCCGACCATGCTAAGAAGGACCAAGCCGCGACTGGTGTGAATGCTTCCAATGAGATTGCGCTCGTCGTAACCACTGGCTGCGCCGCTAGGGCTGAGGCCTGTGCTGGTGCCAGCCAGACTGAGATGGGCAAAGGCTGTCATTCCACGTCCTGGCTCGTAGGCTGATGCGGGAGCTGCCCCGCCAGTGGCTGTTCTTAAGCACTCGTCAAATTCGGCGAGCGCCTCTTCAAACCTTCCCATTCGCCTCAATGAGTGTGCTAGATTTGCCCTTGTGGCAACCCATGCAGTCATGTTGCATCCCAAATCCGAGGCGAGTTCAAGGGATTTGTGAAAAAGTTTTGCTGCAGCAGGGAGGTTGGACTGGTGGTACAATATGACGCCGATCTCATTGAGCACTAGGGGGTCGCCACCCAGACTGGCAGTATTATTGAATATCCGGTTGGCCAAATCATCCTCCGAGCCTGATTTAGGGGTGCCGCTGCTCATCTGGAATGCCGCAAGGCAGTATTCCCAAGCCAGCTGCATATTGTTTAGAGCCAAATGCTGCATGCCTAGGAACAGCTGGGGCAGGTGGCTCCCCTGAAATAACCTTGCTGCCGTCGAGTAGGCCGCAATGGCCTGATCGTGCTCGCCCTCGGCCGCAAACGTATGGGCGAATCCTATCCACGCAGCGGCGGAGTGCGGGTCCATAAGGGATGCCTTTGAAAAGAATCGGCGGGCCTCAGGAATACGGTATGTTGATAAGTAATACGTGCCTATGGCCAAGTAGGTGTATGACTCGTGAGGAGCGTGAGTTGCCAAGGTGTGTGAAAGATGGAAAAGAGTATTGTGAGATCCTGTCTCGTACAAAACAGCGAGGTGTAAGGGATAGAGACGTGGACTGTGCCCAAGCGAAGCATTGGTGTTGCTCGACGTTGCGTCACCGAAGGCATCAGAGCTGTTTTGCGAGTTGAGGATACTCGTTGTGATTGCAAGCGCGTCGTGAAAACGGCACTGGGTGTACAGTGTCTCTGCTCGAGTCAGAAGCAAGTCTGGATTGGACGCCAGGTTGTAGTGGGTTGAGAGAGTCTCGGTGGCGTTAGCAAGGGTCTCGGGGGCCGAGTACTTGGACAACCGCGTCGTGTATAAAAGCTTTGTAAAGTGAGCGGCTTCCTGAGCCAAGGACTGATCTTCGATGCGTATCGAGTCGAAATCGAGTTCTTCGAGGAAGGCCAACTCCTCGGCAGGGGACATGAGAGAGTTCTTCATCAGCTGGTCAAAGGCTTCAAAACACTGCACATCTATTCGAACGGCATCCTTGTAGCAGTCTCGTGCCCGGTCAAAGGCATTGCGTTTTGCGAAACACAAGCCACGAAGATAGCACATGCCCGCCTGGAATTTCAGTTCTTTCTCTGATTCTCTGTCACGTTCTCTTTCTTCGCTGAATTCAATCCTGTCCCGCTGGGCTCTCGCTCCTCTTTGAGTGATATTCCTCTGGGAATGGCCATTGATGTGTGCCAATTTTCTTCTAGCATTGTGGGAAGTAGTGATCAAGTGAGTTGGATTTTCCTCGCCGAGTATTCCCAGTGCTTGGTCATATCGGCCTTGCTTGACGTAGCAATGAGCAGCCAGGTATCGACAGGAGAGACTTCGATTGATCAAGTCCTTTCGAAGAAGCAGAGCCAATGCCCGGGTGAAGTTATTGTGGCCAAAGTGGACTTGAGCTAGCCAGAAGGCGTCGGCATCGTTGTCTGGACACGTTAGGTTTGGTCTCTGCTCCAGTGACTGTACTCACATACTGGTCAGGGCAAGAACCTTGTCTCCAATATAGATAGCCGCATCATGCTGACCCTTGTTGAGAGCGTCTTGCCGCCACGTTCGGAGGTATTTGTCCATTGTTGTGGTGAATAGTTGGTGTGAAGGATATGTGAAGATGCATCAGTATTAATGGGGGTAAAGAACTGAAGAGTCAAGAGATAAGAATGAGAACCAAGTCATCTAGCAAGAGCAATTGCTCAGGAATGTTCTTTCCAAAATATCATTCTGCCCCGAGGATATTGCACCTCGTGAAGCGTAACGGCGTCGACTGCGGCACAAACAATCGCCATCCTTTCAAAGGGCGAGTGCGAAACGTGGGGATCAAGAGACGCGCCGAACAAGTCAAACTCCGATTGGCTGGTTTTACGGTTCGCCCGCGCTCCCTCAAGCTGCCGCCTGTGGCGTCTGATTTATTATATTCTCTCACCCACTTTCATCCTCCCAGGCACCTCACATCCTCTCCAACAAGTCGTCAACATGTCGGAACGAAAGGTTCTCACCAAGTACTACCCTCCGGAGTTCGATCCCTCCAAGATCGCCCGCACTCCTAAACATCTCCGACCGACTGGGCCCAAGACAATCCCCGTCCGCCTCATGGCTCCCTTCAGCATGAAATGCACATCCTGCGGAGAATACATATACAAAGGTCGTAAATTCAACGCCCGGAAGGAGACAACCGACGAGAAATACTTGACTATCTCCATCTACCGCTTCTACATCCGCTGCACCAGGTGTTCTTCCGAGATCACTTTCAAGACTGACCCGAAGAACATGGACTATACCTGTGAACGAGGAGCAAAAAGAAACTTTGAGTCGTGGCGAAATCCCGAAAATCCAGAGCTGAAAGAGACCGATGAGGAGCGTTTGGATAGACTAGAGAGAGAGGAAGCCGAGGAGGAGGAAAATGCGGAACGCAACGCCATGGAGGAGCTGGAGCAGAAGATGGAGGAGAGCAAGAGGGAGATGCAGGTCGCAGACGCCCTCGATGAGATTATGCAGCGAAATGCACGGATAGAGCGCGGCGAAAAGGGCGGCAAAGAGGACGAGGCTCTAAATCAAGTGAGAGATCTTCAGAGAGAGGAGAGAGAGCGACAAGAACGGGAGGATGCCGAAGCTGCCCGCAAGGCATTTGAAGCTGCCAACGTCGAAAGGACGAGGCTCGAGGAACAACAAAAGGCAAATGGCCCAAGTAATCATGTTGCACATGACGAATCAGACGAACCACATCGACCTGCGCAGCCGCCTCCGTCATTCGAGAGGGTTAAAAAGATCAAGAAACCTCTGGTGCCCGGACTGGTGCGCAAGGCCGAGCCTATGACAGCATCAAAACAACCCCCTGCACCAGTTCCTGTACAACCACCTACTCTCGGCTTGGGTGGTTATGACTCTGACGAAGACTGAGATCGCCGGGATCAGGCTTCCTGCAGAGCTTGGAGGTCAATCTCGTATATTCTCCTGGTCCCCAAGTCTCCCCACACACAGCTGCCAGGGAAGACTTTGGCGAGATCTACCCCATCAAAGCTACAATTACCACATATGGTCTGCACTTGCCACGTCACATTCTCTGATCCTCGACACTGACTGGTGTGTCTGCCTCCGCTGCAGTATAGCCTTATCGGTCTGCAACTCTTTATTGGCCATGACCCCAATCCTGTACAACCCCGAGAGATGGAGGCATTTGACAACATGTTTGCGCCAAGCTGGAGAAGATGGACAAATTGCA